GCCCATGGGTTGAAACCATCAGTAGCAAGACCTAATCGAACATTACGAGGTTCTGTTTTAAAAGAAGGATGCATTTGATCAAAATGTCTCCATGCTTTTGATTGTGCTGGATGAATGACCTCATCCGTATCACCACAATTGTAATATCCCAAAATTTTGGGGTATTTTAGCATTAAATTGGGGACTTATTTGAGGAAAAATATTGTTTTGAGGCTTAATCGCAAAATTTTAAAAAGTTGAGGGACTAAAAAGAAAGGAAATTAGGATAAGGATGAATTGCTTTTTCTTTTTCTTTTCTTTTTCCTTTCTTTTCTTCCTCACCAGCTGCGTGTTTCTGCTTCTGTTTCTCCTTCCTTCCTCCCCCGACCCTCTGCACCCGACGAGCCCCCCGTTACCGCCACCCATTTCCGGCCGAAAATCCGGCAAAGCTTGGGGATTTCTCCCTATTTTCTTGTTCTTGAACCCAAAAATCCCCCCTCTTTGCTGGAAATTCCAGATCTGCGCTGTCTTCTCCCCTCTGTCTGTCGGCCTCTGCTTGTGTGGGTGTGGATTCTCAGCTTTTCTGGTAAGAACAGCCATGATTTCATCCTTTTAGCTTTGATTTAAGTTGGGTTTGCCTTAATTCCTCTTGGTTCTCCATTTTTGGGTTGGTCCCGTGAGTCCCCTGCAGAGAATTCCCGCCGGCTTCTTTCCCCTGCTAGCTCCGGTTCTTGCTGGAAAATTCTGGTATGAAGGCCACTTCTTTAAGCCCTAAATTAGCCATTTAATTGCTGCCTTGTGTTGTCCGAATTTGCTAAAATGAGGGGAGGAATTCCGGTAGCCTTTGATAGCATTTAAATGTGTTTTGTGCTTGGTTTATGTAGGAATTTTGTTAATTGGGCTGTTGTGATGTTGTGTAGGAGTAACCCCGTGACTTAGCCATTGTTGGCCAAAGCCGTGGGTCTCCATTGCTTGTCCGGGAAATTGGAATGAATTTTGGTAGCTTTAAGCTATGTTTTAAAGTGTGGTTTAAGTAGAAAATTAGCTTGTTATGATTGTTGTGAGATTTTGGAGAGAAATCCCGTGAGATTAGTTATGGTTTTGCAATTTTGGAAGTTGAAGTTACTGTTTATGGTACTGTTCATAGGCACTGTTCACACACCGAGGGTTAATGATTAACGGGGATTTAAAGGTTTAGTTTGTGATATAAGAATGAATTTGGAGATGTTCGGTTATGTGGAGATTGATAGAAATGGCACTGTAATTAGGGGTAGTGCTAATGATGATTTCACTGTGAATTTGTGGTGGTATGGTTATTAATTGTGGAATATTGTGATTAGGTTTTGATCGTTCTGTCACCGTAGCACTTGGATTAGCCTTCTGTTCTGTGCGAGTGAGGTAAGTAAATTATGGTAAAGCCCTCTGATTTTAAAGCATGTTTTAAACTGTTTTTGAGATGGTGGCAAGCTTTAAATTGATTTTATTCGCATCTGAGTGTGATTTAAACCGAAATGGAAATTGTGATGGTCTTTATGGGAATTTCATTGTTTTTCGGAATTGAGCATGATTGGAATGAAAATGGAAATTTCATTGTTTTCGGGAATTGAGCATGATTGGAATGAAATTGTTTTCATTGCATTGAGTAGAGCATGCCTATTTGGAAATTGACTGAACTGTTTTGATGAACTGAGAGTTTGCAAATTCTGAGTTTTCTGTTAAATCCATGGTCATATGGAAATTTTCTGGTTTATTTCTGAGATTTGAGATTGATTGTGAATTATGGATTTTTGGAAATCCTGCATGGTTTTGTCTCGGATATAGTCATGATTACTGACGCCCGCTAGTGGGAGCTGTAAATGCTAGCACATGTCGACATGTATTTCTGTAGAACCGGTTTGTCCTGCCAATGGGATAAAACATTGGTACTATTACTGACGCTTGCCAGTGGGAGTTTGTTAAACACTGGTACTTCTAAAACCCTACCAATGGGGTTAAACATTGGTTATTACTTACGCCTACCAGTGGGAGTGTGTTAAACACTGGCACTATTACTGACGCCTGCCAGTGGGAGTGTGTTAAGCACTGGTACTATTACTGACGCCTGCCAGTGGGAGTTTGTTAAACACTGGCCATGACTTATAGATGAGACTACTAAACTGAGTTTTCTTCTGCATTAACGATTTGTCAGGAAATGTTTTGTTATTAAACTGAATCTGATTTTGCATTGACAGTTTATCATTGAATGCTTTGCAACTGAACTGAATCTGATTTTGTCATTGAGCGTTTGGTTATATTAAACTGTTTATCAGGCATGCTAAAAGTTTTACCCAATGGCTATCCATATTTACTTACTGAGTTATCTCATAGTTTTCCTTGTCCACCATTTCAGGAAGCGAAACTGAAGACGGGGAAACCGAGGGGAGTGACGAGTTAGAAGGCTAGCCACTTGTAATTGATATAGATTTGAGAGATAAATAATGATATTGTAAGCTAGATTGGATTGGAGATTTTATAAATTCATTTCGCGGATTGTTAGTTTATAAGAGATTTGATCTGGAGGTTTTGAGATAATTGATTTGAGTTATTGGATGGTCAGATGTGAATTGAATAAGTTCCGAGCCTTGTGCATTCGTGGGACCCGTTCACGAGTGCACTGCGTCTGTCGCACCTCGAATTCGAGTTTTGGGGCGTGACAACATTTCAAATGCCATGTCATGTGCTCAGCTATTTTTCGAGACATGTATAGCCTCTGAAGGCGAGGTATTATTGGCAAGTACCAAAGAGAATTCCTCGGAATGTCCTTTTGTCTATTCCTCCCTGGATTTCTCTGTTTATACCTCGCTTCTTCACAGATTGGACATGTAGTCAATGTTTTCGTACGCTCCCCATAGTATAAAAAGCAGTTATTAACATAAGCATCAATTTTTAGATAACCTAACCCAAACCCCTTCATATATTTTTTTACTTCATAAAAGTTTGAAGGAACTTTTTCTTGATCTTCAGCACTTAA